GGAAACCCTGACAAAGTCCTGCTGATGATAATCTTTTTGAGCATGAGCTACTGGTCAAGTGACTTAGGACTAGACATGAACAAAAATGAGCTTGGCCATCCGGTCTGAGCTTATTACCAAATACTGCTTAGCTTATTAATATAGTAGTAAATCCATTTGCCGAGGGTAGCCTTGCGTTTTCTCTTCCTCATACCTTTTGAGTGTTGCTTCGTGTCACATGCAGAGGGCTTAGACATGCCTTGCTGTGGTCCTGCACCTGCCCAAGGAAAGCATTTCTGTGCTGTTCCTGCTCGCACGAGACTGGCAGACCTCTCATCCCCCTGGCCTTTTCCCTGAGCACAGGCTATGTGTAGCTACTAAAGCTAGTTCCTACCAACAAGGAGCTAACTGTTACACTGGGGTCACTGAAAAGGCTCCACTCCAGTCTTGCTCTAGAAGAGGAGGAGGCTCTTGTGACCATCTCCTTTCTCCTCTTCAGCTACTGAGTATGACATGGTGGCTGAGTCCCAGGCGTCCACTGCCACAGCTGTGGCCCCACTGGCTGAAAAGATTCCTCCAAAACGTGTGTGTGTGATGGGGAGGATGATGACTTGGAAAACTAGTCTCTGCCTCAGTAAAGGCGCTGCTTGACCAGTGTCTGCTTGAACTCACCCCCTCCTCACTAGCCTATATAATATGTCCTCAGATGGCCAAGGCAGAGACCTGAGAGCATCTGATGAAAGACAGGTGAGGGTGAGACAACCACACCTGCCAGCCTCCAGCCTCTCAGGAAAGCGGCAGCATCTGAGAGGTGCGAGCGCCTCAACTTGCTGGCCAGCAATGGCCGCTGGATGCAGGACAGCCCTTCTGCTACCAGCAGAGTGTGGAGACCCCTCTAGGACACCTCCCAAGACAGAATGTCTAGGTTCTTAGGGGCGACAAATACTGCAAAAGAAAAAGGGGTCTCAGGAATATGCAGTCCTGGTGTGCATAGCCCTGTGTACTAGGAGAGAAGGAGAAGAGGGATGAGGTTTGGCATTGTGAGAGCATTGCTTTATTGATTACAGAATTTACAAAACATCCATATTCTAAGATTAAACAGTACAGAAGGACAGAAAAGAAACCAAGACACTGGCTATTTGATTTCCAGTTGCTCTGTTCAAACTATTTCTTGAGCTTTTAACACTGCAATCTCATAATATTTCTCATTTTTTATAGCACAAAGTTCCATTCTATAGTCATTCTTATAAATCTCTTTTCCATAGAGGCAACATTGTCCATGCTTTATAATCGGTCCTTTGTTTCCTTCCAGCCACTCAAAAGTGAATTTAAATCAAAATGCACCCTTTTCTGAAGACCATTATAAACATTTAAGACAACTTACGCTAGCTAGTGAACAAAGGTTAAAAAGCTACTTCCCATTTAATCTATTCCTTTGGCATAATAAAGAATGCTATGATAGACTGAATGTCACTTCTAAGTTCACATTCTCATCTCAGTGTAAGCTGTAGTCTTAGCATCCCTTGGATGAAGCAAGAGGATGTAGCTTTAGAGCTCCACCATTTTATGCTGCAATTCGGAAGTCTTGGTGCTATATGCAATCACAATCTCTATTGGCTACTGCTTTTTTATTGTATATCAAAGTGTTATAAGGAAAACTTACATAACTGAATCTGATAGTGGCTCTTTCATGATCAGAAATTAGTTGTCTAATCATGCTGTTCAGAAATCTAGCTCAAGAAAGAATCTGTTGCCGCGACCTCTTGAAAATGGGATCGTGCTTTTTTTTTTCCCCCCTCTTTTTCTTTTTTAAATGCATGTGAGGGCAGGATTCTTCCAGGGTTATCATCAAACCATCACAGCCCATATGTCCTCCTGCGTAAACCTACAGAGAAGTGTGCTATCAGAAACAGTCTTTTTTCCTGGGACTAGTGGGAGGAGAAACTAGAGCAGGAAACAGGAAGCTGAGAGAGAAGCAACCACCTAATCCAGCCCTGGAGTCTGGCTCTCTGCTTCCCTGCCCCTGCCAGTCCCGCTGGGAGAGCATCACGGGACTGGGAGCCGCTCTGCTGGCTAAATCAGGGCTGTGCTCTGTTGCCCCTCTGGGGTGCAGGACGAAGTAAGAGCAGAGGCTGCGTAAGGCACACGTGTTTTGCAAGGTAACAAGACAGAGAGGGTGGATTTTGCTAGCCTTCCACTCCCTCAGCAGCGTTTCCCACCAGAAGCAAACCCAGCAAAACCATCAGGAATACTCAGAGAAAAAAGTACTGCTTGGGGAGTGCAAATTCAGCATCACCTGGTCCTCAGCTGCTCCTTTTCTAGGGAATTATTATTACAAGCGATCATCCTCGCCGCGCAGAGCGGGGCTGGGGTGATTCAGCACTGCGCAGTGTTACCATTAAGGAGGGGGGAGTTGTTGCTGGACAACTGGACCGTTTTGAAGAGCTGCCCGTGAGCTGCACGTGTTCCCTTGCAGCCAGATACCCAGCTGCTTCACCCCGTTTCAGCTGCAGCAGGGGACATGTCATTTTTTGGAAGGCTGTTGGGAAGAGTGACAGACCAGGGGTTTGTTGTTTCCAGCCGAGTCACTGGCTCATCTTCTCCACAGATCCTCCCTCGTCAGATATCGGTGTCAGACTGGAGACGGTCTGTGGCAAACAACAACTCAATAGCACTACGTGGAGTCAGGAGTGCAGAGGAGAGCACGATTACCTGAAAGAAGGGGCAGAAGAAACAACAAGTCAAAATGAAGGGGACCGAGACTGATCGCAGTACTAATGAGCCATGGATATGAACTGTCTGCTTCACCCAGCACTAGACAGGCTGTGTGTTTCTGGTGTTTGCTGACAGGACAATACAACTTGCCCAGCAAAACTGTCTGCTCCCTAATAACTGTAGTTAAATCACTTTAAGGAGCATAATGACTGGTAGCATTGTACTCTAAATGAATGTGTGCTTTGACTCATTTCTACCCACATCTTACCCGGTGATTTGTTGTGACTGCCATTGTGTTTATGCGAGGCACCAGCTGATGAAGCACGGGTTTCCTCTCCTATAGCACAGTTTTGAGTGATGGCTGTTTCCTCTCAGTTGAAGGTAAGGCGAGCACCACAGAAGTGCTGCCGGCCTGCTGCGGGGAGCTACAGTCCCTGTTCAGAAACTTCTCTTCAGGCCAGGTGCAGGCTGTTCTGCACATCAGGACCAATGCTCAACCTCGAGCACTGTCGGAATCCTATTGCTTTTCTTTGTTCAAATTTTTAACCCAAGATGGGTCTTGATGAATGAAACCGTCTCTCACTACAGCCGTGATACACACCTGCTAGATGCAGGTATCTGTTTTTCTTAAGCGAAAACCAGTATGCAGGTGCCTCGTGTGAAGGCTTCTCTGCAGGGCAAAGCTATCAGCAAGGAGCAAGTGCATGTGCTCTTGCGGCATGGAGCTAACTCAGGGTCAAAGCTGTGGGACACTGCTCTTACAAAGCCCCAAATTCAGTAGTGTTTGTAGGGTCAGGACGGCAGGCAGGGACGTGGGGGCAGATTTATCTGACTAGCCCACTCGAACATGCATTTGCTGCTTCAGTGCAAATCTGAGGAGAAGCAGCACAAGCATCAACAAGGGAGTATGTCTGTGTGTCCGTTTCCTGCAGTAGCTATCAAACCTCTTGTGCTCTTCGTCACACGGCTTAAATGTGCCGTAGTAGTGCATTTCAACTTTTTTTGTTGTTCTTTCTTTCATCTTTTCATTTCAAATAATGAAAAGAATCTGGAGTTAAGTTACTACAGATCCCTTCTGTACTGATGATAGTCTCCCCCTCACTTCTCCCCTTCCCTTGTCCTCCCACACAATCTGCGGCAAACTGGCACTGATTATCTCTTCTCCTTCCTATGGATGAAAAACTCTCTGTAATTTGCAGATGCCAAAGGCTGACACTGTCTTACTTATGTTACGTGAGAATCAGACTATAGCACAGTATGTGCTCATCTTGTTATCATGCAGCTTAGTTCTGAAAAATACGAGGGGACATGTTACTGAAGTTTTTTGAGTGTGCAAGCCAAACATCAACAATAGCCATTGCCAGATAAAAGGAATTTCTTCTTGGAGTCCCACCAGTGAAGCCTGAGGGGATTTGTGCAACTAAGAGCAAGCCCAGAGAGAAAAATGAGAGCTGCAACTTTAATGTCTGAAAAAGGATGCAGCAAAATACAGTGGGACTTCCCTCCTTTCTCGCCAGTATCTCTGAGAGCTGATTGAGGGGGATAAATGTGAATATTTGTTCCTTCACTTTTCCAGAGAAGGGGGGAATTGCCCAGGTAAGTAATGCCCACCTCTTCTCCAGGCAGGTCTCTTCAGGACACTCTATCTCCTTTGCAGACTGTCTCGTTGTTCAGTACAGCGCGCCTGTCTTTGGTGCTTCACCTGAAGGGCTACCCCTCCTGATGGCAGCCGAGGAGCCAGGAGCTCACATCCCGACCCACTGCGCTGGAGCGGGCAGCTCCCCCTCAGCAGAGGGCAGGGAAGGATGCAGCTAACATCTGATGGTGCATCTGGAGGGGTTTATCTGTCTGTATGTCTCAGACACAACCACGTAGATGGTTGTGCGTGTTGGGAGGGTGAAACATCCACTCATGCTCTTTCCCCTTTTTTTACTCTCCTGATTAAAGTGGAAAAAAAAGGTAATTTCTTCCTTTGAAAGTAGGGTACTTCTCACTAGGTTAGGGGAACTATTCACCACCATCCAAAAACAAATGATGCGTAGGGAATGCTCTATTCCTTTGTGCTCCTCCATGAGAAATAAATTTGCCATTCGTGTTCAGATGCAGAGCAGTTCTGATGATGCAAACATGTGTCTCCTACTCCACATTTAAATGTCATTTGCCTCAACTCCAAACAACTGCTGAAGTAATCAGTGCATCCTGTCAGTTTTTCTGTTACTTTCCTCAATTCTTTATTTTTGCACCCACACGTCTCTCCATTTCTCCGAGAGCCAATAATTAGTATAAATGTCAGTGCTTTGTTTGACTGGGACTTGGGAGGCCAGTGTTCCCCTGATGCCTGAACCTGATTGCCTGACCACCACAAAAAAGCTCTGTTAAATGCTGGCTCGAGTTAGACAAATGCCTGGCTTTTTGAAAAGAGAATAATCCCAAACAGGTGGCACATATTCACAGCTATAGTGCAGAAATCCAGGTAAATCCAACAAACTCATAAACTATTTTATATAAGAGGCTTGCACAACTGCTTCTTTTCTTCTTTCTCTTCCTCCTCCCACCTCTCCCCCCCCGCAACTCCTTTCACCTTTAACACAGCACATTTGGACAAAGGGCAAGATGCAGTAAAAGCTTAAAATTCTTTAGGAATCTGCCTCAGAGGGTGACCTGCTGCTGGGGTTAAGCCAACGCAAAGCAACACCAGATCCCATGTCACCACTGTCAAGCCTCAAGTCCCTCTAGAAAGCCAGTCAAAAGTCTCCCTGCATAGTTCTCAGCCAACTCACGTGTTAACCCTCTGCTTATCTTTCAGGGTGTATTAATACGTTTCGGGTGTGGATTAACTTGTCCATCAGCGTGTCACAACTCAATCCCACTTCAAGATGGGAAAGAATTTTATTCGCGGTTTTGACGACATTAGCAATAGGCTAATTGGGGAGAAAACTCTAATCAGATCAAAAAAAACATTGCTAAAAACGGCACTCCATCTTACAAAATACTGGTTTTGAGACTGCCTTGCAAAGACAACTAAAATGTGGAAGACACATGCCAAACCCAGGGGCTGCTCAGCCTTTTGTTGGCTCCATTTTGCTAACGATTTCTCACTAATCAAAACTGCATTCCAATAGGAATTGAAAACAAGATACTTACAAGCCACCCTGGAAACTAGACTTATATCTGCGATGCAGCTGGTTACACAGCACTTCTCTGCAGTTTTAAGATTACCCTGTATACCTGCACTACTCAGCAGATACCCGATTGCTCTTGTACACACTCCTCCACAGTTAACAATAATTTTTAACATCTCAGATGCCACCACAGCCCATCCATCCTCCTCCTTGCCCTTCCCACTCCATTCAGATGGCAGCTGCTGTAGTCAAGTTCTGCTGCCAGAGAATGGAAGAGGCAAAGACCAGCTGCACAGACGCTATTGAAGCTTCACCATGGGAGCCATCCTCCTTCCAGGAGTCCGACAGCACATCCAAGGGCCGCGGAGATTTGGGGTTTTCTCCACATCATCTGCTTCAGGCTACTTAAGGCATTTAGCGGTCAGGTATCTATCAGAGATACCTGGCCTGGACCAGAAACCAGTGCAGCTGTATCCAGGCTAATTTATCTTGCTCTTCAGCAATGCCAATTGACTTGTCTGCAGGATCCCCACTGATGTGTCACTAGATGGTACCTGGAACCCTTGGCAGGCTCCTTTTGAGCACTATGTCCTGTAGACGTACTGCCAGGGAGCCGGTAGCCTTTTGGACAGCAAATGTTTCTGTTTAAAAAGAATACCAAGAAATGAATCTTTTCAGATATGATGAAAGCTCCTTCAGAATAGTGCCAGTCTGGTCTGAACTCTGAAACCTGAGTTTGAACTTTTATTGCTGACTCTAACATGTAAAAAACAGACCCTTGGTGCCTGATCACTTGTTGCCTACAGATGTTTCACAGCAATATCCTAACGCCATTCCTGTCCATGTGGCTGTGGCTTCATGTAGGTTTGGTACCAGTGCTATAGGGAACATTATCTGATGAATTTTCTTAGTCTTTGTTCAGATAGGAACTGTACATTTAGATCTGTTTTTACCTGGGTCCCAGGTTTGCGTGTTGCTACCAGATCCTTCACCATTTTGACCTCGGAGACTGTCACTCCACCAACCATAAAGATGATCAGAAGAGGATGATCACCAGGGTGAGGGCGATTCACCTGCAAAATGAAGGAAAGCATTATTTGTAGTTGCTCATTCCAACTCCAAACCTATGGACTAGCAGTGATCGGCTCCCTGAGCTGCTGGAAGAAGACTAATGAGGAAGTTCAGAAAGAAAAATTCACGGAATGCTGGTTTCTGTAGCAGCTGAGAGGGAAATCAATGGGGAGGACACCCAGTTAAAACTAATGAACTGTTTCCAGGGAAGTGGAACTGTTTCCAGGGAGTCTTCATGGCTTCCACTGAAACCTAGAGGAGTTTCTCATGAGGTCTCAGGGCTTCTCCCTCCATTCCTTCTTCATTTCTTTCTTCCCTCTTCCAGAGTGGGAGGAGAGTACTTGGGTGGGTGCACAGTTTGGATACATGTACGCATGGGGCTTTAAGGAATGAGGGGTAAATTACTACCCAGTAGAAGCAAGGAGTCCAGCCTAAATGTGCTAGAATCCCTGCCTGAGGTCAGCAATGGAAAGAATCATAAGTAATATGTTTTCACCAGTCCAGTGAATAATCCTTTACAATTCACCCAATGAAAATAAATCAGGTTTGTTACAGTATAAAATCAGTTTCTAGCTTGTTTCACTTCAGAGTTTTCAATACTTCTATGACTGGGTTGTAACTGATACAGAGAAACTTCAGCTCAAACAAAATACTTGTTTCGTTTTTCCCCAATTATCATTAAAATGGCACAAACATTCCACTTCAGTTAAGACTTCATAAAACCGCATTTTAATTTTAAACGTGAAGGTGATGCTTTACATCAGTTTCCACTTAACTACTCCTGGAAGTTTGATTACTTTGCTGTTTCCTAGCAAACTCTTTCTTTCGTGATAAAACACACTCCCCTGACAATGCCTTGCTCCAGTCTTCGGGAGTGACGTCAGTGGAGCCCGTGCAATTGTTCTTGTCACACCACCTTTGACTATGAAACACTCCAAATGTTTGGCTCTGAAAAGTGACAGCGAGAACAGTTTAATTTGCTCCTTTTTAGACTCCCCACCCCCTCTCCTTCCACAAGCGTAGGTTTTTGACAGCATTCACTTGACAAATGAAAGTGGTCATCAACCCATATTTGGGTGGAGCGCAGTTCCTTTGCTTTCACCGCCACAGCAGCTATCTTTGATCCCTGTGGCTCCAGCTCCTGAGGGTACAGCTCTTCTTCTCTTCCTTGTTGTGGCTGCCCTATATTTAGTCTTTGGGCAGTTTTTCATCCTGCAGCTCCATCACGCTTTCAGACTGGCAACCTTCCCTTTGAGGCAAGCATGGGGGGCATGGCGTGCTCTCTCTCCAGGCTAGCCGGCCTTTGATGACACAGGGCTCCCTGTTCAATGCTGCTCCCCAGGCAGGGAGCTCTTCAACTCACCAGGAGTTTGCAACCAGTACAAATAGCCTTAGATAGATGTATTAGTGAGCTGAGTAGTTGTGTACTGGGTGTTTATTCTGTCAATCACCCCCACTTTGCCAGCCATCTTCATCGAACTGATGGCACAGAGAGCATATATACTACAATTCAGGAGCATGTCCTGCAATTCTGGTGTGATATTGAGCGATTTTCCATTTAGGCCAACAGATCAATTAAATGGATACACTAGAGCTCACAAAGACTTTCTTTATGCACTTTCCCACATCAGACTACTCACTTCTTACTACCTGCATCTAACATAGTGTCAACCTCAAATGAAAAAAAGTCCATTCCTATTACAAACACCATGAGGAGTTTAAGTAAGACCTAAATATTTACTTACAAAGCAGGCCAGATAGAGGTATTACTTGCTAAAATATTAGAGTATTTCATGCCATAATTACCGTAAGCAGTGACACAAGGTTAAAGAAATAACTGCTCGCAAAGGTGGTGAAGATGAAAGTTGACAAAATGCTCTGTTATGGCACTTCAAGGTAATACAGGAATTACTGTTTTATTCCTTTTCATGGATCTTTGCTCTTCTTAACCCTGTCGTCAGAGCAAACAACTCCACTCCATCTCACGAAGCTTCTGAATGACCCAAGACATATGCAAAGAGCTTGAACTTCAGAAGCTTGCTATCGAATAAAACCTCTCTTTCCTAATATCCTTCTAAAGTAACAACAAACTCATCATAAACATGCATGTGTAACACTGGACACACTGAAAGGACACCCAATATAAGAGCATTAATCGGAAAACACACGCTTTCATGGCAATACTAAAGAGAAAATGTCTTGACAAATCATTTCCTTCAGTCAAAATAAACCTAGTTCCAAACACATGGTGCCTATGTAAAACTTATTATTTTTCAGAAGGCTAAAGTTCAAACCACAAATTCCAGAAATGCATATTAAAAATACTATTAGGCATGCAAACTCTAAATTAAATTAAAATTGCAATGAAAAGGGTCTTGGAATCTGTAATTTTGTTATGCTATGCACAAGTGTTTTGAAGGAGGACAATACTTTGAGTACAAAATATTTGGCTGTGTTAAGAATGTAAGTTTCTGCCAAGATTTTTTTGTTTGATAATACAACCACCCAAGGCTCTCTCTTTTGAAGGAGCTGGCTGTGTGTAGCTAAACACAGCTCATTTCTGTGATACAGAAGAAGAACTGAAATGACTGCAACAAAAGCAACGTGTCTCTTCTGGGATTCTTCTAAAGTTCAGTTGTTTTGGGACATTTCTGAGGTCTCTGAATCGCGTTTACTGTGAAATCCGAATTTTGCAAAAATCCTCAAGTGAAATTCACTTTCAGTTCAAAATGCCATGTATTAAAAAGATTGGGACAGTTATCTCAGGCAATCAGAAAGACTAACCAAGAAAAAAGCAATCCCATTACATTGAGCAGAGGAGCCTGAAGGAAGAAGGAGGAGTGGTTTGCTGAGCTAGCAGAGCATCCCAGCTGGATATCAGCCTTCTCTCCAGCTCCAGGCCCACCACTACTGCATTTCCTCAGGATGCTGATGGTTAGAGGGCTCTTTGCTGGTGCATGTGTCTGCGTGGAGGAGAGAGAGGGGGAGACGGGAAAGCGGGGTGACAGCGGTCAATAAAATTCTAAAACTGAGGCAGGAAGGGGTGGGAGGACAGGAATTGTTCTCATGGCAAATCAAAAACCACAGCTTTTTCTTCTGAGGAAAGTCAGCAGAAACAACTTCTACTGCCCCACGAGGGCTATCTCTGCCAACCAGGACACCAATGCATCTGGTGTTTGTGACCAACCAGAAACCAATTAATTTAGCTGAATAACTGGAAAAAGGAAAATACATCAATCACCAGAAACTAGACAGCCATGCAAGGCACTTGGTATCAGTGACACCAAGCTCAGATCATCATAAACCACATGTGTTCTAGAGCAGCAATCAAAAGAGGAATCTTTGCAGCAGGGAGGCCTTTTCTCTTCATCTTCCCTAAGCTTCAAAACAAACACATCTACCCGAGAAACAACTTCTGGACGAGAGGTATCTTTAAAAGTCTGTCCTGGATGAACATGTCTGAGTCCATCACTTATGAAATCATGTTTATGTGAGTTGGCATTTATATTCAGGCATTGAGCAAGAAATACAAATATAAGGAAGCTCATGAATAATTACAGAGCTGATGGTGCAATAAGTGGAGAAGATCCTCTTGTATGAGAAAAACAGGCTGGTCAGAAACTCATTCACGTAATAATCGAGCACTTGCCAACAAGCCAGGCTACAAACTAAATGAGGAAGCACAGACACATTTGTGAGATATGTGATGATGCCTATGAAATATTCACCCTACATATGGTTCACTTGCTCATCTGTTTTATATTCCTTACAGTAGGATATTTTTCTTACTAGCAGAGATGCAGGTGCTTACAGGTACCTATTGCCATAATATACTTCATCCGCTTGCATAATAGTCTTCAATGAGAACTCAGGAAATGCGGTAAGACAGAGCGGAATGTACAACATGCTAGCTGCTCCACACTTCAGCTCTGTAGACATTTAACGAACACTTAGCATAGGCTAATTTGTAAAGGAGAGTAGGCTCTTGTAGAAAGACTGTCTTGAAACATGCTAAGAGCATCCACAAGGCATTTTCTGACTAATCGGCTTCCTTCCTCCCCACTGCAAGTTGAACATTATGAAGTCATAGAAAAGGCACTGAATATGGAGCTCCTCTGATAACCTTCCTCCCCTGTGAGACTTGACTGTTCATACTTACTTCTCTTCTATCTCAAGGCTTCTCAGTGTCCTTAAAATCCTTTGATGAGCTGCCTTGCAGAATGCCTTTTGGAAATCCAGGTAGGTTATATGAACTGGCACTCACTTATCAATTTGCTTGTTGGGTGTCTCTGAAGAGCTCCGGAAGTTATGTGAGGTAAGACTGCCCTTTAGCAAAGCCACATTGCCTCCTCCCAGACATATCATCCTTATTTAGGTGCTCAGCCTCACCCTTACTTAGGTGTCCAGTCTGCTCCATTCCTCTTGTTTTGTTCAGCAAGTGCTATCCATCTGTACTGTACCTGCAACGTGGTGCCTCAAGCTATTCCCAGTCCCCCTGCAAGGATTTAACTCTCCTAACTGTCCCTTAAATTCTGTGAACAATATTGACTCAAATACATAAAATCAGCTACTGCCATATGATGCTATGACCTCATGAAAATCTTACAGAAGAGCTTGGGAAGCCTGGTTTACCTTCATGAACATGCTGAATCCAGTTTTAAGGAGATCGGTGAGGCCTGATGACACATGCTCAATATCAACAGGATCAGGTCGATCAGGATTACAGATCTCTTCCACTACCTGTTTCAGCAGCGGTTTGTAAGAAGCCTGCACAAAAAGAACAACGTACTGTGAGTAAAGCTGTTTAGACTTGGTGCAACTGCTCTTCTAATAATTTTATTTCCATTAAAGGTAAAAAAAATAATTATCCTAGAAAGGAAACCATTCAGACAGTTAAAAAATTATCGAAGCAGCAGCAGTCTTTGTGACCTTGACTGCAAATGGTGTGCACCAGCACAGCATCGAGCTGAAAAGACAGAAGATGGCCACACATTTACTCTGCCCCATGTGTATTACATGAGTAAAGGGAAGCAAGGAGGAAAGGGGGCTTCTAGTTTCTCTGGAATCTTTTTGGACTTAGGGATAGCAATAGGGATGACACACTGTTGCCCATCATGCACCCAGATCTAATTTGCTTTGTAATGTTTACAAACACTTAAACAGGGATTTTTAGGAGGCGTTGCTTACTGACCACTCCTGCCTTCCCACGGGTGTCATGTCAGCACTGAAGCCTGGATATCAGCAGGGCTGGGAAGAGGCCAGCCTGCCTGTTTGTCCCTCGTGGGACAGCAGAGCTATGGAGTCCCTGTTAGTCCTTCAGCTTCTACAGCCAGGGCAGTCTACATAATACTTCCACCTGTGGAAAACCTTGAGAAAAATAGGCCAAACAACCCCACCGATATCATACATGCCAGAGCTTCAGAGAAGTTAGGGACCAGGAAAAGTGGAACATGTAAAGGTACAAATGGTCAGCACCCTGGAAGATCCACTTCCAAAGGATCCACCCTGCATCCTCTTCAGGGTCCACAGACCTGTGCTGAATATGAATTAGTAGCCTAGAAATTTCCACATTCCCTTACCAAGGTTTAAACCACTCTGCCATCCTGGAAGAGCTTCTAAGATAAAAATTTTAGGGACTTGTGGAAAGATGCTCTTTAATGAAAATTTGGCCTTACTTCGTTTACAGATTTTGCTGCTTTCAACTTTGCCCAAACTGTAATGGAACCACAATTGTTTCAGGAAGCACAACAGTCTTAGAAATTTAGCAGCTTTCAAATTTGTTTTCCTTTGGGACCAGACCAGGTATACATCATCCCCTAGATTTCTTAAGGGAATCAAGTGTGACATCATTCATCTTGTAAAGATGATGTCTACAAGAGGCATCATGCAAGATAAGCATAAAAACGGATGGAAAATAGAAAGCAAGCTGCTTGGCTTGAAACTAAAGTTTTCTGGAGTAATTAGAGAAATGTTTTTCATCCAACACTTTACAGTGAGAAACAAAACTTAAGAGTTTTTGAACACAGTCCTGTCAACAGAGATTTATACAACTCATCTAGTTCTTCTCACAACACGTGCATAATTTTTAATTGAGCCAACAAAGCAAATTACAGCAGACATGAGCTGCAGGATCTTTTAGGACAACATGCCAAGATTAGTGTCAAATCTAGTCATGCAATAAATGACTGTTTGAAAATACACATGGAGGCATGAAGTCCTATGCATAAAAATCTGTTTAATATCTTCATAGATGAGGAACAGAAAGACATTAGGAATGAAATATTTTTGGAGTAGAGATCAAATCACAATTAAACAGAGAGGCTCACTGCATGAATTAAAGCAAAAATATTATCTGACTTCAGACAAAACCATGTACTCAAAAGATGTTAAAAATGTGTTATGATTTTGCATATCTAACTTTTCAGCACCAAAACTCAGTGCCCTTCAAAATGATCCGATTCGGCTACACAGATACTAAAAGGCAGATACTATGATCAATTACCTTTTTCTAGCTATGATAGTTTCAAATATTTTCAAAATCTTTTATGACTTGAAATTCATCTATTATATTTTTAACGAGTTTTTACTTTATTCTTTATACAACCCCCAATACCTGCATCATGTGATGAAACTTCTATCAACTTTAAAGTTTGGCGGGGCACAAACTGTGTTTAAAACAGTTTTTAAAAACCTCAATGGCTATGGGACATACCTCAGACAAGATTATAAGGAGAAAAGGAAAGAGAAAAAGAGAGAGAAAGAAAGAGAATGAGAAAAGGAGAGGGAGGAGTGGAAGGAGGGAGGGAGGAAGAGAGGGACAGATGAAGGGAGGAATATACCTGAGATCAAGATGAAAGGAAAAAAACAGTAGTTACAATATCAGGCAAAATAAATACTCTCCTCTTGCATGGTGGCTACACGAAGTGGTTTGATAACCTAATGAAAACATTCATTCATCATTTTATGTAAGACATAAACTTCAATGCTACAAAAAGTCCTTCTAAGAGGCTATCCAATTCCCGCTTATCTATAGAAACCTTTTTTGAGTCTTAACAAGAAATGGAGGCTTCCCAGCTCCTAACAGATAAAGTGGAAAAGCCCCAATACGCTAAACCCATTCCCATAGCACTAGGCTGGGCAGGGAATGCGTATGGCCACGGGAAGGGCACTACTACTTCTTCAGAGGAGTTAAACTGATCGCATGCAACCCATTTATTAACACCTGCCAGTCAAAAGAGAGGTCCATTTGCAGAGAGCTGTATGTATCATGGGAAAAAAAAACCATACCGCCTGCTTATTTCTGCTACTCTAAGCCTCCCGAACTGCCCTCAGCAGAAGGTTGGTCCTATTCAAGCAATTAAATCCACTGCATAGCCAGATCAGGGGGCTGCAAGGCGTTAATACATCCCTTGCTACGTTCCAGCACTTAGCCCTAAGCAAACAACCTGGGTTACATCCAAAGAACATAGTGATGCTAATTACACTTCCAGTAAACTTTTAGAGGGTATTTTCTTATCATCTGACTGCCCCCCCACTGAACTGTATTAAATGTTTAACAATTTTTCCCATTTCAGACACCAGACTGGTCCTAAGTGCCAGAAGACTTCAGTAACAGGTTTTCTCCACCTTAGCTTTCCAGTGACATTTTGCAACACTCCCAATTCCTGTTGTTACAAAGCATTGCTTAATTTGAACTACATCCCTTTGCTGGTCCACCACATACTTATGAGTTTGGAAGGATTTCTTTCTGGCTCAAGGCTGGAATCAGGTTTTACAGTCTCTCTCTAAATCACTGTATGTGCTTTCCGTTGTAAAACTAATTTTAACTGAAAAAGTTAAAACACTTCGGGGGACATGGAGAGAGAAAACCACTGTATATTAGTCCTGATGACCTATAGCAATATTGTAGTTCAAGCGTTCATATTTTAGAAGCAAAAGCTGCATTTTTCACCTATTTACAAACAGGAGTGCCTCTCACAGTTATAGAGATGGGAGAGAAAATACACAGGAATATAGATGCTGTATGGATGCAGGCATCCTGCTTTGCTGTGCCATGAGAGGTCTTAGTCCAGGACTGTCTCGACCTAGCCCTGCCTTTCACAAGCATTTATGTCATATCATAGTGCTGCAGAGCAAATCCCTAATTTCTTCCTCAGACAATTCTTTGTTGACATTGACACGGATATGCTTGAGTTTGGGTGAAAGGACTTGAGGAAGTTCTTGATGATTAGGTCAATTATTAAATCTATACTTAAATATCTTCCACATGGGCAGAACACATATAGGATTAGCACATCAGCAAAATTAGTGCTGTAATTTTGACAGCATGCTGGAGAAATAACATACACAGGGAAAAGAAAGATCCACTTGCCTGGTGGGTGTTGCTGCCTGGATTATGTATGGAATTAAACTGTTTCATGTGCATTCGAGCTCTTGCGATATCCCTGAGGGACTGAAAGATATCGTCCACTGCTTCTGTGGCTTTCTGAGATGTCAGGTTCAGCGACGAGTCACAGCCTAAAGAAATAAAGAAATGCGGAGCTGAGTGAGTGAAAAACTTTCAAGTGTTTTGATAATAAGCAGTAGCAAAAGGATAACTGGGAGGAAATTTTACATTAGTTGCATCACGTTATATTCTAGAAACTCAGGGGCTTGTTAGACAGCATGTCCTCAGCATGGCATGAATCTCTGTAGCTAAGCAAGAAGCCACAAATCCTAGAGAGCAAGCAAAGTGAACAGCACCTCTCTAACCACACTTGTAACCAAGATCACATAGCAATTTCATTAGGGTATGTTTTGCTCTCCACGGCAAACAGAAGATCCCATGCCAGCAGGCCCCGAAGAAGAGCCCCAGGTGGAAAGGAGCCAGCTGGTTTGCTGGTCTCCTCGGGGCGAAACAGCCATGAAGAGGGAACTTGCTCCTCAGGCATCGTGCCTGGGCCCTGTCTGGCAGCCTGCTGTCTCCAAATGCATTTCCTACCTTTGAGACAAGAAAAAAGGCAAAAGTCCATGCTAAATACAGTGGAAATGATAGCTATACATTGGGAAGAGTTGCATTATCATAAAAAAGTCCTTATCCCTCAAAGTGGCACAGTTATTACTTTTAATGTATTTTTTCCAAAGCACTTCTGCTAAGATATAGTGCTTATCTTCCACTGAGGCCAAACGCCATTTAGAGGGCCACACAAAAGGTCGCTCCAGGTGGCCAGACAGTGCCTCAGCAAAGAGCAGTTCTTATCCTTGGCTCCATCCCCTTACCACAGGACCTATATTGCACAGAGGTGTAGAAAAAATGCTTTCTCAGCTGACCTGCCAATGAGAATTATACAAGTCAGAGATAACTGGGTTGCCTGCTGTTTGTATTGCCCTGTCAACACAACTCTACACCCTTTGACACCTCTGCCTGCCTCTCTTCTCTCTTGACTCCTCACCCCCGTGGTGGAAGATCCAGCACAAAATAACCCTTCTTGCCACACACACGCACAAACACACACTCACTCCTGCTTATCGCCAGTGTCTTCTCCCAGGGATGCTGCCGTAGTGGTTTGTGTGTCCCGCAATCGGTCCTGCACCGGCAAGCCTTTATGTCTGTGCAGAATCCTGCTGAGAGGATGGGGTCTCCCCGCAGGTCCCAGCACGTGCTGGCTCACATCGTGCCGCACCAGCGGAGCCCGGCACTGAAAACAGACACCAAAACCTGTCGTGAAGGAGCCTGGGTTTTTGGGTGGGGGGATTCTGAACAAACTTCCCTCTACAACTAACAGAGGACAGAATCCTTATGCACTAAAGAAACAACAAAGAAGGCTACAGTACTTTCAGAATTTACAGGGGATTTCTAATAGTTAATCTGTATCACTCTTTCACATCTTGCATTCTGTACAGCAGAATATATATATAATATATACACATACTTACAGAGGTCTGAAACTATTCCTACAAGATGGTGATTAGACACTGAGCTTTCATTCTGAATATAATTTGTTGAAAGGCTACAAGTCGGGTCCCCAGCTGGTGCAGCAGAACAGATAAAATGTACTTCTTGTGGCCCTGTACTTCTGCAGGGCTACATCAAACCAAGCTGCTGAGGATTTATGCCGTTATAACCCACAAAGCAACGAAGCGAACACGAACTGGGCCTTGGTGACTCCTGGGTTGTAATTCTAAGGCAGACACTCATGTGTTTTTTGACAGAGCTCTTGAAATGATTAACTTTTTTTTTTTTTTTTAAATGAGTGCAAAATAACTTACAGGAATATTTTTGTTATGTATGTGCAGGATCTGCGTGCTCTGATACTCTGATTGACCAAAGTGCAGTGTTTCATTTGGCTGAGGAGCCTGTGTGTTGTCAGTGAAAGCCCTGAATGGAAGCCCCACTCTGCAGCTCACTACCCCACTCCACTGGTGTGGTGCTCTTGAAATCAGAGGTGGCTCCAGCGAGTGATCTTGTGCTGGTTTATGCAGAAGGGAACAGTGTCCAACCGTGGAAAAAAGTGAAACTGAACACCTCCTGGACAGATGAGGTCGATAAATAAAGTCTGAGGTGATAAATCCTGGTTTATATTTATCACTAGCACAGGCAAAATATTCAGAGGAGATCTTGTACTGTCAGTGTGCTTTCACCTTGCCTGTGGGAAAGCACAGGTATGAGAAAACGGGATAGTCCCTCTTTGCTCCCAACTCAGAAGCCATGCGTATTTAATAGTTAACATTTATGAAGCATTTTGCAAATGAAAATTAAAATTGAGAGCTATATCTCATTATTGTATTACTAGATTTTTCTACTCTTTGAGAGACAAGCTTTCTCTGTTTTGGCCACATTGGAGATAAGCAGCTCCTAGTTAATACAAGTAGTTACATTTTCTTTGTCCTCTCTTCAATCCTTTATCAGCAAAAGCCATCGCTTTTGGCCAAGACACCTCTGGAATGTTTCCTTTCGCTAACAAGCGCAAGTGCCCCACACTGAACAAGTTCAGGCAAGGTAAAAATCACATGAAGTTTCCTTTGCTTTTCACACTCTTTTTTTCTCAATTGTTTATCTTCTTGGACCATTTAAAAGCTTTTTGTTTTGGCCCTACAGTTATTTTTCCCAAGAAAAGAAATATTTGTTTCCTTCTCTTGTTGGCATCACTTCTCTTTCTTTTTATTTTAACAAGAGCCTTTTGACCAAGAAGTTTCAAACCAGTGTGTCACTTCCCACTTCTGGAACTGCAGGGCAGTTTCCAGTGGACATCGTCTGGCCTCGTGGCTGGAAGCCCCTGAGATGCTCCCCACCTTGCCTGGCCCAGTGCATCCCACTTTGCTTTTTGTTACTGGTCAATCTTCCCTTGAGCAGTTTCTCAGCAAAGCGCAGCCTCTGTAACATCACCCACTGCTTGAACCTCATTGCCAGGGAAATGCTGTCTGGAGCTTGGGCTTTGCTTTACAGCTTGTGCTGACACACTCGTGGGCTGGAGAAGGCCACGAAACTGTTCACCCTCACCGTCTGTTTAACAGGTCACATAGCTTCATCACCATCGCCCGAACCAAAACAAGAGCCTGGCGTGTTGTGCAGTGCACCAGCAGCTCCTCACCCTCCGTGTTCAACCACGCAGACCAGAGTGTATCTCGAGGAGTACTGGAGCATGGGGTCAATGCGTGCTTCCAGTCTCCCTGGCAGAATGCAGTGCTGGACCCAATTTGGAGCAGGGGGGCAGCTGAAGCTCCAGTCCGGTGCCAGTTTAAGGCTGACAGATAGAGGGAAAAGAGCCATACTTTCAAAAGTTTCTCTAAAATATGGATTCCTTGGGACTTCTGATCAAGAAATATCACATGGCTGGGGAAGTCATGGCGCTCTCTTTCCATTCGGTTCTTCTTTTTTTAAATGTATATTAAAAAATAAGTTTTCTTTGCCATCTTATTGTTGAGGTTAATAACAAAAATCTCAGGTTCTCCAAAGACTGCTGCCTACCTCTCACACCGCAGTAGGTTCGAAGAGGGGAGCCGGGTTTCTCTCCAGCCTGGAGAACAACAGAAGCTTGTGTTGCACAAATGGCAGGCGGCTACAAATCACCTCCCGTTCACACCTTCCCCGTGAATGGGACTGTGTGCACATATGGGGAGCAGAACACAATCCCTCTTCTCTGCCCGCTTCATGCTACCAAGAAATCTGCTCCTTTTACAACAATGAAGAGGTGGAATACATTAGCTGCTGCACAGCTTGTGCTAATTAAAACAACTCTTCCTGTTACTGTTTTTTCATGGGAAGTTAACTGGCATTAGGAGAGCATGCTGAATGAATTCCTTTGAATCCCAAGCCCTATTATATATGGGAAAAGGCATTTAAATGAAATTGGGGTATACTGTTTTCCTGTCAGACTTGAAGAAGCCCAGTTGTGGAAAAAAGAAAATCACCACTAACCAGCACGGGCATAAAGATTTTAAAGCACATATCCAAGATCTTGATGATATCCCAAGATGAACACAACCTGGTTCTGCGGTAAGCGGTGCCTGACCCCACCAATACTGCTTCTGTTCTGCTTTCATCCACTTGTGCTGAATTTGAGGGGAGTCAAGACTGTCAGGAGCTGTATCCAGCGCCAAACAGGATGAGACTGCTGGCCCTTATTTTTTACCTACTTTTGAACTTTTTCATCAGAGAGAATACATCTCCTCTTAAGCTACGGATCTGTAAAACCATTAATGAAATGAAATGAAACTAATTCATTTTTGTAAGAAGCTTGAAAAGAGGAGACTGGAGAGGCTCTTCTCTACAGTCTGGGGTGACCCAGAAACTACGCTGGACCAGTTTTTCTACTGGTTTCTGAAATTGAAAGGAAGATACTTTAAGAAAAGGACACAGACATTGTGAACCCACGAGATCTGTAATTATACAGTGGCATGTGATTGATTATTCCCTCCCTGAATGCAACAAATGAGAATTTCAGACATGTGTATCAGAAAACCTTTCACTGTGCTTTGTCTCTTTTGTTATGTGGTCCAGGCATTATAAACAAACTTGTTCTTTCTCTAAAGCGGTATGATAATTAGTAACACTTTGTGAAGGTCTTTGATACTTCCGAGACATCACTGAAAGGGTATGATTCTTACAAAGTTAACAATTTAGGAAATCTGAAAGTTTAGCACCTTACTCTGTTTTATTGGTATTAACTTAGGCTCTCTCTATAGCCCATTTACAGAAAAAAAAAGATATAAACCCTGCAAACCCTGGAATGGAGCTGGCAGAGTAGCCAAGCTGTTACAGGAGCACACACTGAAGCACGGGCTAAACCAGAAAACTGGTACTTTGAAGAACAGAAAATCCAGCATCAGGATTGCATTATGCAAGCTGTTTTCTAGATATGCAGAGTTAATTTGCTTGTCCGCCAAAGACACAGAAAGAACAGAGATATGCAGTGTCCTGAGGGTCAGAACTCAAAATACAGCACTATGATATTAAATTAATGAAAATCTTCTATCTTTATACTTTAGGTGATAGCATAGCAATGGAGGCCCTTCTTTTTCTAGCAGATAAATCTAAAAGCATTATCTGTATACCCATAGCCATATGTTTTATAATAGTTTTGATATTCTTGCATTAAGATTGTTATGAAAAAGTTAGGTACAAATGCATATGGTTACATAGACCACAGCTGTTTTTGCAAGGTAAAAAAAAAATGTGTAAAAACCAAAACTAGGATGAAAGTTGTGTGATCGTCCTCTCACCTTTCTTCCTGATGGATTCTGCCATGCATTTGAATCTTTATTCTTAAACCTGATTTGTATTAAATTGTGCTCTCTGCTGCATCTAAAAGGGAAGCTGGTAAGCGAGTGTGACACTGTGGGACAAGGAAGGACGGGCCAGAATACAAGACATCTGCCATTGCCCAATAGCAACATCAGCAGAAGGTGAAAAATCAGAATTGACTCCCTTTTAGTTTGGGGGATTATGGAAGAGAGGTGCGTTCCCCTGACCTCCAGAAGAGAGCGTCCAGAGGGGGCAGGCATAGTGGTGCCTGTGGCAGCTTTCCTGCAGCACATGGCACGTCTCTACCCCTGGGGATGGAGGGGATCCTACTCTGTGCTCGCTCGCTCCTCCGCACCCCCAGCACGAGCACGCGCGGCACCGGCTGGGGCAGCTGCGTCTGTGCTGCTGGCAGCTCCCAGCGAGGAGCAAGCCTCCGGGCAACCTCGAAATGCTGAAGGCCAAGGCAACACTACAGTGGGCTGAGTTCAAAACAGGGCTGGATTTTCTGACATTAGCAAGTGATTCGGGTGCTACTGATTGGATTAAAGGAAAAGACGGGTAAAAAGAAACAGGGAAGAAGCTGAAAGATTTTTCGAAATGGTATTTGGAATTCAAAGGTGAATTAAAATCCCTATTTAGTAAAAAATAAATTTATTAGTAAAATAAAAAAG